ATCTGCAGGAGCCCAACTTGAGGACAAATACAGCAGATTGTTCTTAAACTTACCCAGGACCCCAACAAGGAATGGGCAAGGTGTAGCTGTTTGTGGCCAGACTCTGATATTTGTCCCGCAGCCATTCATTCTTTCACCTTATACAGCTGCATTTATTGAACACCATTTTACTGTTTCAGTTTAATTTTCTGCCAAATGGAAAGGCTAAATAAGACACTGTCCTACACCTGGAGCTTGGATTGCAAAAAGACCTCATTAATTGGGACTGGTGACCAACACTGTGATGAGTCTGGGGAGGGACACCACAGCCACAGGGTTGTGGTTGCTCTCCCCATCTGCCTGCTGGTATTTGCTGGAAGCTGTTGTGTGGTGGTCACTGGGAGGAAGGCGTGTTGTATCACTTGCACGTGATATCATTGTACAGATGTACACTGTACAATAGTACCGTATGTTGTACATCATACTGTTTCCTGCAGCCATCATATGGATAAAACTGCTCAGCTCCATGGTCCTGAGGGCTTCACCCCATCCCAATTGCATGTGCAAAATCCTGAGAAAATGCAGCAAAGATTGTCTGAACATGGGTCTGCCTTCACATAGCTTGCTCTGGTTGAGCTGTACAGGATCTGAAGCTTCTGATTCATGGGTTTTCTGAGACTCTGGACACCAAAGCAATACATGAACTTGGAAGTGACATATAAAACTTTGCTGAGTACTGGTTCAGATTTTGTTTTTCAGTCCAAAGGTACCAGGTGAGTAACAAGTATGTTCCATGTTTGAGTGGGCTGCTGGTTTCTGCTGGTGTTAAGTGCCAAATATGCTTAAGAAGACAGGGCTAAAGACACGTACCTTAGTGCTGTGCTACCTAATAGGACTGCAGTGGGTGCTCTCCATGGCAAGCAGTGGTAGTGCAGTGACAGTAGTCAGGCTCTCTCCATACTAGGAGGTTTCCACACCTTCACTGGACATGGCCTGTGTCAAAGCTGTCCCTGCTTTGAGCACCTGCCCCATCCTTCTGCCTTTCAGTGGGGGAGGAAGATTCCAACACTCTCCAGCCCCAGTCCAGCACCAGTGCATATAGGTGCCAGCATCTTCTTCAAGAGGCAGTTCACTAAAGCCATGGCAGTTTGAAATACACCGTGAAATCTCTTTCTTCATTTCTTGGTTCTTGAGATTTTTAAGCTCATGTTTTTCAGTTTCTCTGCACGTCACAATGGAAATTTGCAGGGAGCTTACCTTAAAACCAAGCAGACTGGTAAACATGAGTTGATAATCCCTGGAGAAGATGCTGCAGAGTGGACAATGCCATGCTGCAGCAGAGTACCCATGACCACTATAAATGGTTTTGCAGCCACCCTTGGGGCTCACCCCATAAGCATGGGGGCTGTACCACTGTCTCGGGGATCATTCGTCTCCCCACCCCTTGGGAGTGAAGGAAGGGTCTGACCCTTTTGGGGCTGTAACCACCTAAAGCACTGTGGCAGTGTGGAGTTAGGTCCGAGCAAGATGTGGGCTGGCTCTGGCAGAAGTGCTTGGTTTGGTGTGTTTGTGTCTCAGTGAATGATTATAAGGACCAGGCTTAACATTTCACATGAAGGAGGGATGTGTCCCACTGCTACCCTTTCCTTCTGGTGTGGGCAGGCACCATGCACGTGTGTGTGTCCCTGGATAGCTGATTCATTGTGTTTTTGTATGGGGCGAGGGTGAGCTATGAGGCACTGCTGTCAGTAAGTGTAGCTGATGGACCTTGGAATACCTGATGGAAATTATGAGGCATGAACATTCATTCATCTAGCTTAGTTTCACATACGGTTGTACCATCTGACTGCCCAAGTGCTGCAATAGTAGTCGCAGGGCTTGAGACACTTCTCCTTTTCCCCTCCCCTCCCTTGTATTTCTTTTCTCATTTCCCTGCTCACCCCCCCCCCCCCCCCTTCTTTCTCACTCTTTTTTTCCCCTGGAAGGCTGATGGATATGCAGAGTATGTTAAGAAGCAAGCGATACTGTCACCGAGCTGATGGTGCTCAGTGACTCCTCAAGCTCCTGGCTGGTCTGTACTGCAGGAGCTTGACACCCTGACCACTGAGGCATAAAAAACAGAGAATTGGAAGACTCAGCCTGACAGGCACCAGAGCATCCCCCAGAGAGGGTCCACCATGTGTGTCTGTATGTGAGTGTGGGGAGGAGGGCAGTGGGGATGGTGGGGGAGGAGATCAAGGCAGGAGAGGATGAAACAATGAAATGTCATCCCGTTCCCACCCGCAGCCCTGCTGCAGCACTGATAGAAACAGCTACCTCCTTCTCAGTGGTGTGCATAGTGTCAGCACAGGATAGTCTGGATCTGTGCAACCTTGGGTGAATGGAGAGAGGAGCAGCAGGTGCAAAGGGGAGGGGGAATGATGGGGCAGCAGAAATGAGGGTTGTCCTGTCCTCGATGGGTATGTGTGTACTCTCCCTTGGGGTGCAGGCATGTGCAGCTCGCCATAAGCTTTGTTTGAAGCCTGGGGTGCTTCTGTTGCACAGAGATGCTGGACAGACTTCTCTACACACCATGTGCAAGCAGTCTACAGAGCGAACTGGGCTCTGTCCTGCTGTCCTGACTGCCCTTTCCCTCTGCCTGTGCACTGTGCATCTCCAGGAGTGGATGTGGCAGAGGCTTGCTCCCATCAGTGTTCATGTGTCATGTTGGTCAGGCAGCACAAATGTTCTGTGCAGCTAAAACAGGAGTAGATTTCTGCACTTGTCCCTGCTGTATAGAAAGGAAGAAATGAAACCAGCGGGGAAAGGGGTATGCAAGTTCCTCCCCATACAAGAGACACCCACAGGATGAAGGGATTTGTGTGATGCACACATAACAGAGGAACTGGCTATTACCTTTTAAGAACTGAGAAAAGGTTGTGTCACTCACCCATGAAGTTACCAGCCAGTTTGCTGCTCAAGTGCCTTACAGTCTTGGGCAAACAGTTGTTTGCTGGAAACTGAGGGGCTTTGGGAATGAGGCAAGCAGGGAGGGCTCTGACTGAGCAGGAAGCCTCAGGTGTGGCAGTAAGGAAGCAGAAGAAGGGACCAGAGAGGAGCTGCTGTGTCCTGCACAAGGCAGCTTGCTCCCTCACCGGTGGAAGGCAATGGAGATGCCTTTGCCAGCAGCCCTGGAACATCAGGTGGCTCCATGGCACCCATTCTGACTTTGCTGTCTCACTCTTTTAGGGTGAACACTGTAACAGAGGTAACCTGCAGATGCTAAAGTCATCTATCATCCATAAGTACAGGAAGTAGAAAGGAAATGTAGATATAATGTACTTCACTGGGAAGAAAGTTTTGGAGGCCCATTTTCTGTGGCTTATGGTGAATTAGTGCCATTCCTGAGAGGCAGTAATGGATCTACTCTGAGCTTGTGGTGAAATGTGGTCAACAAAGTAAGGCATGCTGAGCATGCTGCACTTGCTCCTGCTGGCTTCAAACCTTGTCTCACTGCCCTGGACTATCCATGGATGCTGGTCAGGATGGAGAGAGCCAGTTGAGCATGGTGGGTGCAGTCCTATGGGTCTGAAGAGCTATGAGAAACAGGGAAAGATGTTAGTAGAGACCCTCTGGGGTAGAACAGTGATGGGCAGCTCTTGTTGTCGGCACATTCAGCGTATCTACTGGCATCCTTTGGTGCAGGCTGAGAGGCAGCTTGTTTTTTACCAAAGCAGCATCATGTGGAGATCAAGCTACCCTGGATCTGACCCTCTATTTTGACACCAACCTGTGCTACTTCTGTATTGGCAGAAAATACCTTTGCAGGTGGCTGCGGTGGCTGCCAGTGCTGCATGGGTATCGCAGTCCACCATGCTGCTGAGCTGAGAGCTCCCCCTGACAGGCAGCACAACTCCACCAGTCACCAGAGCATCATCCCATCTCCCCTGGGTCAGCAACTAGCCTAAACTGTGTCCTGAACTGAAGAGACCACTCACGGCCCTGGGGATCCCGACATGGTCCCAAAGGAAGGTATGGGGGTCTTAGCAGGCCTGTGTGCTGAGCCTGGGGAACTGGAGATGTAGTACCACGCATCTGCCACTCAGCTGGGGTGAAGGCAGCCCCTGGGAAGCAAGCATCTTCCATTGCACCCTGGCAGTCCTCTCCTCTTGCCTGCTCTTTCTCCTGCTGTGCTGTGTTATGAGTGCATGTATTTGTGTATGGGAGAGTGAGCAGAAGAGGAAGAAAGGAGGAGAGCAGAAAACTGTCATTTGTGGAAAGTTTCCTAACAAATCAGCAACACTTGGCATTTGCATGGTGGTGGAGCTGGGTCCCCTGCCCAGGGTCAGAGCCTCGAGGTGCAAGGCTCTGTCGTGGAGAGTTTGCAGCTGAAGTATGAAACAGAAGTGATGTGAAGGAGAACAGACAAATGTGGGGAGCAGGAGCTGGTGAGGAGAGAAATAGCTGGAACTCTCTGAGACAACTGTGCCTTTGTCTGGAGGGTTTCAAACTCTGAAACTCATGCAAGGATTCCTCTCCTTGGGCTGCAGTGATGCATAGATGTCTGGGACCAAGACCATTCTCCTGGAGAGCCTGGAAGACTACCAAGTATCTAGAGGATTATCTGGTTTATCATCTCTCAGCAGCAGGGAGTCTGTCTGAGCACTCCTGTCTTTGTGTTGTGTTTCTGACTCCAAGTGCTATAGGGCTGTAGAGGCAGGGGCCAGCCCTGTCAGTGTGCCCCAGGGTCCTTTCCAGCTCTCCTCCCTGTCTTGCTCCTGAAGCATGCATTACTTGAGAAAATCCCACCAGCTCAGCAGGCCTGGGCTACAGCACAAGAAGGGTGTGCAAAAGATGGCTGTACCCATTTATTTAATAGTTCTCCCACTTATATTGTCCTTCCTGAAAGAGGGTGGCCAGGAGTACCTTTATTAAAGCTGTCACTGGAGTGCAGCATGCAGTGCAGGGTTCCTTTCCCCCACTACAGTAACTGTGGTCTAAAATCAAATCATCTTTTGTTTGTCTTTTTCTCTTTAACTTAGGGAGTGAGTTTTCTGGGAGCCCATACAGCCACCCACAGTATTCAACATACAATGACTCCTGGAGGTTTCCCAACCCCGGACTCCTGGGTAAGTGCCGTTCCTGCCTTGGGGGCTCTGTGCAAGCTGTAACTCATTTGCAACCTGGCAGTGATTGTCCACCAATAAGGTGGGCAGGATGTGTGTCCTGACATGGTCCTGAGTCTCCACTCTCAGCTTTCATGCGGGAATGCTAGTCTCCAGGGAAGCACAAATACTCTTGGTTCCTTTTGCCAGCAAGAAGCCCTGCCCAAACTTCTTGTCTTCCTGCTTTTGCTGTGTAAAATCCTTTCTGAGGCACAGGGTGTTGCAGGAAGACAGGATCTCCATTATCTTGAGGATAAGGTATCCTGTTCAAACAGAATATGGGGTGCCAGGTGTTTACAGCTGAATGTGAGCCTCATTGCTCCCCACACTGTTGTTTCTTGCATGTTGGAGCACTTTGCATTTCTCCCTTACTTGGCGCTGTGTTTGCTCCCCAGTTGTGTGTTTGCCCGATCTGTCCCTCCTCTGCCAGGGACCGCTGTGCCTGCGCAGCCTCACTGGCACCAGCACGGTCCCTACAAGCAGAGGGAGGCAGGAGCCCCGTGGTGCATGCAAGGATCATAGCCCTCATGTGGAAGATAAACATAATCCATTTTACACCACTGTCAAATGCTGGCCCACTTTGACCTTATATATGTGTAGCATGCAGTAATTAGAATTTTTCCCTGCATAATTTGCATGGATGAGGTAAGTAAAATACCAATTAATTGTCATCTCTCAACACAGGAGTAGCATGCCTTGGAGATTTCCAGATTTATGGATGACAGGGCTGTTATATGTGACCTCCAGCAGCGAAATAATTTTGAATTTTCGCCATACTTTTTTCATCCAGTTTCTTTGTTTTAAGTAATTGAGTCCCCATGTAATTGAACTACCCAGGTTTTGTTCATCATGGTTCTTGTCCTTAAACAAATCCTTGGGGAGTAATAGACAGCCTCTGCCTCTCATGCCATGGTGCTGGTATAATGCTGCTATTTGCTGTGCCACATTTAAGGGTTTGTTAGCACTTCCATCATAAATCAGCAGATAGATCTCCAGCTAATATGGATGGGCATAGCTGCACAAAGCCAGAGGAGTCCCTGTGCTTAAATGCGCAGTTTCCATGGCCACAGCCGGCAGCGCCTGCGGGATTTTGGCTTGGCTGTGTGGGGAAGATGCTTTAGCCAGGGGGAAGAGAACACACTGTGCTTTCTTCATTTCTGATTTTGCAACTCCTTTGGAAGCTGCCTAAGCAACACTCTGCTTCATCGGCAGGCCTGGGAAGCCAGTCTTTGGATAGCTTTTTAGATTTTGCTTGCAAACCACTAAAGAAACTGGAATGATATGAAAAATAGATGAAAACCCAGGCCCAACCCTGCCCATGGGGAGAGGGCTTTTGTTGAAGCTCCTGAGCTGCAGACCATGCTCCTGCCTGTGGGTGCACATTTCCACAGGGAAGGATATGCTCCCTGAAGCTGTACCAGAGCCAACCAGCCTGGGACATCCTGTTGCTCCTGGAGCAGTGTCTTGGACACAGTGCGATGGCCAGGATGCAGGTCAGGGTACAACTCCATGGTGCCCTGAAGCCGGTGAAGACAAGTCAGGAGAAGACTGTAAAACAGAGGTTGATCAGGAGCCAGCCACCTGCTAACAGAAGGTCTTTTACCTGTTTAATTCCCTTTATTCCCTATTTTTCCTCTGGTTTTAACCCCTTTCCTGTTCTTCTTGGATGATACATTCTGGGGGCAAATGCCTTCTCACCTTCCACTGTGTGAAAGGCACGCGATATGAGCACAGCTGAAAGGGTGGCATTCTCCCACAGGCAAGGCTGGTATCTCAGGCTGGTGAGGGTTTCCACAGCAGTATTTACTCGGCAGCATGCTGTGAATGTGTATTTAAATGAGACAAGGGCAAAAAGATTTGGATGCTACCATTTGCCTTCAGAAACTGCAGCTTTATTGAAATTGAAATGTTTCATAGGATAATGACAACAATGCTAGCATTTTTTGCTAGTGGGTGTTGTTAAAGTGTATAATCTTGGCTTCCTTGTTTTTATCCTCTTCAAAATACTTTGTTCTGGTATTTTCAAAATCTTACATTTCAATAAACACAGACTCTGTTACTGCGCAGGTAACACTGTATTGCTTTGTGTGTGAAATGACAAGCTGATCTGGAGTTACTAGACTGGAAGTTTTGATGCATTGAACAGGAAAAGAAATGGGTATTTTTGTTCTGCAGCAAGTCCTAAGGATGAACTAACTGTTGCAGTTCAGTGTGGTCACAAAATTGGGAGTGCTGGAGTTCATGGAAGAGAAATCCCTTTGTCTGACCACTGATAGTTTTGTAATAGATGTTCTGCTCTGTTCCCGTCATTGCTGGGCTGGTTGAGAGCTGGTGTAGCCTATGCCTCCCTGTGCTGCTTGAATTGCACCATGGGCATCCCGTAAGAGCTGGGCAGTGAGGTCTTGGTGGGCAGAACCTTGGAATTCCATTTCATTTTAAGCCTGTCAAAAGCAAAATGGTGATGAGTTTGGAAAGTCCACATCATACTCCACAGGGCATCGCAAAGGTCTGTGACCCGCCACCTCGGTGGGGAAGTGCAATCTGCTTGATCATGGTACACAGTGGTGGGGGGGCAAAGCTTCTCAGCTAGTGCTTCAAGAGACACTGCATTGTCTCGAGTATAGATGTAAGAGTGCGCTTGTCCCATCGTGTGGCCTTAAACTGCAGGTGGGACACATCTCTTGTGCCCTGCAGAGATCCTGCTTATCCATAGCTCTGCCTTTGACCCAGGAGCTTAATCCTGCACTTCCTTCTCCCTGGGTGCCCACTAATCCCATTCAGAGCAAGTAGGAGTCTGTAGCAGAGCCTCAAAAACCTGTTCCAAGTATCCTTGCACACCCAGAAAGCACAGTGTGACAAGGCTGAGCACCTGCAGTGGAGAGGAGGTTAATTTATACTATATCCAGGATGCTTCCACTCTTCTCAGGAGTATACGTGAGTATGTTTAATAATTCGCTCCTGAGAGCAAGCTCTGTCAGTATCAGCCTTAAAGCACAAACCTTGACAAAATTAATCAGGACTGGTACATGGACTGACAGAGTTTGTTTTACTAAGTTCTGCTCCCTTCACTGAGATGAAAGTGTAATACTGTAAGCACTTAACAGTGCCTATATTCAATTAATTCCCTGTACTGGCAAGGAAGAATTGCAGCACAGCAATCACACGAGGCTGAGACCTGTGAAAGAGGAGCTAAAATTGGAGATGCCACAATTTGCAAGTGTCAGGAAGAAAGGATACTTGGGTAAAAAAAAGGGGTTTTGAGGGAATAAAAAGAAAGTAACAGATGAGAAAGGTGAAAAAGCTTTGTTCCTTAGTCCCCAGTCTTTGTCCCATGAGTGCGCAGCAGCTGTGAGAGGCACGAGACAGTGTCTCCACAGGACCATGCTCTTGGTGTGGAATTGATGGGGAGTGACTGCCAGGTCCCAGCAGAGCACTAACTGCCCTCTGTTGCCCATGCCTGGCTCTGCCCTTGCTGTGATGCTTCCCAATGCTTTGCCCCAGTCGGAACACCTGCATCTGCCCCAACTGGCATGGGAGCTGATGCAAATGGGTGGCAGTGCTCCCTCCTCTCTGGGACAGTCCTAGATGCTGTGCCCTGCAGCTCCTGTGGAAGGTGAGACAATGAAGCTGTAGTCCTCCGGAGCGGGCAGCAGAAGCTGGGCAGAATTACAGAATCATAGAATGGTTTGGATAGGAAGGGACCTTAAAGCTCATTCAATTCCAACCCCTGCAACAGGCAGGAACACCTTCCACTAGACCACGTTGCTCCAAGCCCTGTCCAGCCTGGCCTTGAACACTGCCAGGGATGGGGCAGCCACAGCTTCTCTGGCCAACCTGTGCCAGGGCCTCAGCACCCTCACAGGGAAGAACTTCTTCCCAAGAGCTCCTCTCAGTCTCCCCTCTGTCAGATTAAAGCCTGTCCTGTCCCTACAGGCCCCTGTAAAAGTCCTTCTCCAGCTTTTTTGTGGGCCCCTTTAAGCACTGGAGCTGCTCTAAGGTCTTCCTGGAGCCTTCTCCTCTCCAGGCTGAACAAGAAATTGAACAAGAAGAACAAGAAGTCTGCTGGAGGTCTGCCATGTCTTCCTGCTCTCCTGTTTGTTTTTTCAGCCCCGGTGGCTACCACACACAGCTCTGTAGCAGGGGCCCGACAGCCTCAGTGCCACTAACTGCAGCTGGACTGAGGACAGACCCCAAGTTTCCAACGGGGGTGTGCTGGGAAAAGGACACACACCCTGTCTCCTTGTGTGTCATCTGGTTAGGTGGCTGCAGCTGATGTCCTCATCTCAAAGCCAGAAGAGGTGGACAAAAGGGGTCTTTTTCCTTTTTTTATATTTTCTTTCCCACTGTGAAAGACCTTCAAGTGGTACAGTACAGGAATGCACATGGAGGTGCATGCACAAGTGCATGGGAAGTAAGCTCACGTGCACATGGGACTTAGTCCATCACTGGCACATGCCATCAGTCAGCTCAACACATGCCCACTAAGAGCAGGTAACAGATGAAGAAGAACAATTTTGTGATGGCTTGTTGTAATAACTTCTTTATCATTTTTGCTTGTTGCATTCAATTTGATGCTGCTCATGGTGCGTTTCTTATCCCTGCATGCTGACTGAGAGGGTTTGCCTGTGCCATCAGAGTGCCAGCATGGCATTGTGCAAGGGCAGAGCGCGAAGCTGGTCTATTAGGGTTAGGTTCAGCTTTCTGTGGAAAGATGAGAGAACAAGTAGGCACCAGAAATGACCTTGTCAAGAAACAAATTGATGGTAGTGTGAATTAGAAAGGAAAAATGACAGAAAGACAAATCAGGCCTGTTCTGGATGGGGGCATAGTGACAGGAAGAGTGAATGCTTTGTGATGTGATGTTTTCATTTTTCACTTTAAATACAAGCTTTTGTGATTTTACTGCTGAAAGGCAAACTGGAAAAATCAAATTTGAGAGATGTGGAAAACCTTTGGAAAACATGAGAGAAATGCTGAGCTTTGGCACTGAGTCAGAACAGCAGTGGAGGAAGAGGGAGAGGGAAAGCCTAACCCCCAAAAGATCCCTTTTACCACAAAACCTTAGCAACTGCTGCATTTGGCTCTGGTGGGACCCACGTGTTGCACTGCATCAGGCTGTAAATTTTGGTGCCACTGGATCCCTTCCCTGGATTTTCTACCCCTCTGCCTAAGATGAGCTGCTATGGCCTGTGCCAGTGCTGGTATGGACTGGTATGAGTGTCTCTCTCTGCTCCCCACCAACATCTTCATGCTGCGGCGGGTGAGGACAGCTAATCTTTTATGGGCCTGCAAGGTGTTACACCCCAAAGTACTGTCTGCTCTGCAGTGCAAAATGATTCCTAAGGACTCACATGCAGCAGGAGTGGATGTTAAGGGGCATGAAGTGACAAACTGGGCTCCCCAGAACATACAGCCCCAAGTTCTGATGCAGAAGCCATGTTCCTGTAGCCAAACCCCCTAATTTCTGACCCACCCAGGTTGCAGCAGCAGGGTATTACATGCAGGTAGGACTCTGATCATGAGAAGGAAGTTTGTTCTCCATGGCTGTGCCAAGGAATGCATTGCACATGGGTGTGCCTAGGAGTGCGACAGCACATGTTGACTAAGCATTGTTTTTCAGGTGCACTGGGCTTGTGCTCGCTTGGAAATGAGCTGTAGGATACTGGAGATGAAGCCTGAGCTGATTTCTTGAAATGGCGCTCAGGACAAAAGCAACTTAGAAGCAGCAGGTGGGCTTGCCTGCACGATGGATCCTAGTGGGTCCACAGCAGCGAGGCAGGGTGGAAGAGCCCATCCTTTCAGGAGATGTTTCAGGGCTGTCTCCTTGGGATGTTCTCTAAGGCATCATGGCTTTATTTCACCAGCCCTGGAAACTGCTCCAGGCAGCTGGCTTGGGGGGAAGGTGAAGAAAGCCCTACATGTTGCAGTTACACCATCACTCTGAGCCAGTGTTTAAAAGTAAATGCCCATGGGCTTCCTCTTGGAGACTGGATGTGTGATTTTCACTCTGTTGCTTGGGCTTTCGAACCAGCAGCCCTCGAGTAATCACTCAGGTAGTTTGGGGATGAACAGCAAAGCCTTCATTTGGAGTCTGTGTGTGAGGAGGGATGGCCAGGAGGTTCTTCAGCCTCCCACACACAGGCTCCTTCACTCTGGAGAGCAGGCAACAGGTGACACGGGACATGCCGCCTGGGTTCTTCCTGCTCCAGAGTCTGTGCCAGGGCCATGGTGGTGGAACAGCCAGGACACTGTCACACTCAGCCAGCGGCCAGGTGCAGGGCAGCCATTGCACTGGCCAGAACAGGGTTTGTTATAGTCTGAGATGGGAAGCAAATGGCTGAAAATGCACCTTTAGCTGCACTGCCACCCATGATTTGCTGAGGGGCCCACATGCCCTACTGAGGTCTAATGGCATCACCTTCTCCTGGAGAGGCCAGCTCCTCTGCCTCCACGGAGTTGCAGAAATTACCTCCTCTGTGTTAAATCACGTCCCTGGCTGGGAAAACCTTCAACCATGTCTGTCATACTGCTGTTCCAAGTAAGATGAAGGCAGGGAGGTCAGGATGGCCGGTGGCTCTTGGATGAGCTCATTTGTGAAACCAGACCCTACAGCCCGGTCTTTCCCAGAGCTGTTCCTTGTGCTGGCTCCTTGTTGCTCACCCAAACATGTCTGGGGGTGTCAGACTCACATGTCGAAGTGCAGGTCTTTCCAGGGGGCTTCTTCCATGCTTTGCATCTCACGCATGTGAGATTGCTGGTGACTTGGAGACCTGACTGGTAGCACCTTCCAAAATTTTTTTACATGACTCTTTCCTCCCACTGAATCAGTTCATTTCCTTGCAATTGCACTTTGAAGGTTTTTAGTAGCTGATGTTATCTGGACAGATAGGTATCTCTCCATGTACATTTGAAGTCAAAGATTCTTCTTCAAGCAAATGGTCCAAGTCCTTTGGTGATCACCCAATCTACTCGCACGTAGCCCTGCATGACAGAAAAGGGTCACTGATATTTTTCAGGCCTCTTTTTAGTAAATGAGTCCTTCACCATTTACCAATCTGTGAAGCTTTAAGCTTAGCCCATATAGTTCATTCAAATGTGTAACACATGTATTCAATGAAGAAACAGTACAAATTTGATCAGTTTGAGGTTTAAGTGTCCATTTAAACAGCTGTGATCTGGAGCATCAGATACTTCACTAGATGAAGCCTTATTCACTGGAGGTAGTTTGTGAACCACTTTCTGAGCTCAGATTCATTACTGACTGAAAGTCACCAATATTTTCTAAAGACAATTTCAGCTCAGCAAATGTACTGGATGCTGAAGGGCTTTCCCTGGCCAGGCAGAAGTTGGTGCAATAGGGTGATCCCAAAGCAGATCTAGTAGCACAAGCTCCAAGGTCACTGTCAAAGCTGAGCAGAATCTGGGGGGCTATTCCCTGACAGAAGTAGTTTGAGAAAAAGGGGAATTACTGTTGAGTCCAGTGAAATGTGTTGAATGTTTTGGGTTTCAACCTCCTACTTCTTCCAAAAGGAGGGGGAGAAAATGAGAGAAGTGTGAGTGTGGTGATGTGTTTTGGCTGTATTTTTTTGTCCTTCCGTTCTGAAAAATTCACTCTTTTGGTGAAGTGAATGAAAGTAACGTTTTGAGTGGAGGAATAAAGCAGGTATGCTAAAGCAATGGTAGCGCTGTTATCATGCACAATGCACCAATGTGATTTTTATACTAATTACCTGGCCCTTATTGCTGTGGGTCTGAACTCAGGCTGGAGAGCTCTCTGCCACCTGTGTCAGAATGCTGAAAGCTGGCACTTTTCCACTTTTGTCTTCTTTACGGTCGTCTTGTCTCTTCCAGGCTCCCCGTACTACTACAGTGCTGCAGCCCGTGGGGCAGCCCCGCCAGCAGCTGCTGCAGCCTATGACCGCCACTGATGCCAAGCCTGGGGCACCAGTACTGACTGCATGCACCACCCGGGACCACCACGATGACCACCTTGCTGCAGCTGGCTGCAGCTGTGCCAGCCATGCTGCAAAGGAAGGAGAAAGTACCTAGTAGGCACATGCTAATTGAAATTTTGCTCTTTAAAATTGGTGAACTGATCATTGTTACATTACTTAAGATGATCATGTTGTCTGGGTCTCAAATCAAACAAAGAAATGTGAGGAAGTGGTTCTCCTGACACCCTGTGTGATCAGAAACATGCAGTGGCTTCATGTCTTTTGCAGCTGGATGGCTACTGCTTTCATCGCCTGTGGTTGCCACGGCTGTATCTGGGGATAAGGAAGAGGTGTGAGCAGATCCCTTTGGGGATGCTTCCTCTTGCTGCACACTGAAACCGGCTGTGAGACTCAAGGCAATTTTATTTTATTTTTCTCTTTTTTTTTTTTACTTGCTTGCAAAGAAAAAGACCGGTCAGCTCAATTTTACACAAGCACCACTGTAAATACCTGCTTGTTTGTATTACTATAAGAATGGCTTAAGCATAAGCAGCAACATTGTACAAATATGAACCCCAAACACATCTGAAAATGTGTTTTGAAAATGGTGCACTGATTCAAAGAATTCAGTAAGCTTTAAGCAACTTTGAACCAGGTTAACACTCATGGTGGCTGTATTTTGGGCCAATGTTATTTCAGTATACAGCATCCTATCTGATAGTTGTATGTGATCATGCTGTATGCTGGTATCAAATACATGGGCAACTGAAAGACCTGAGCAGTGTTGTGACACTTTACTGTTTAATATTTATTTATGTTTATTTGTCATCATAACAAGCACTGAAACAAATTCATTGCTGGTTTTCCGTAAAGTGGCATCCAAGAAGGAATTCCTGAGTAATAGTTGACACCTTATGTACAACTCAACAGGTTGTGTGCTAAAACCCAGTTATGAATGCCCTGAGAGGAAGGGGAAGTAATACCATAGTAATGATTTTTATTAAATGGATATACCGAGTGTGGCACATCAAGCACAGGAGCAACCATACATGATTTTGGAGGCAAACTGGAGGGAAGGGTGCTCCTTTGGGAGTCTGTGCATTTCAGTGAAGGCATTTCAAATTCAAGCTGCCCTACTCCAGGCGTGCGCCAAGGGGAAATTTTACGCTATTAATTCCATGTTTCTTCCCTCCACCTCGGAGTTGGACCACTAAATGTGACATGGCCTTCAATGTGTGGCTTCCTGGGACTAATGAAGAGAGAAGAGCAGCCACAAACGACCCACTGAGGAGCTGCACCAATCACTACCACTTTATGGAGCCAGGAGAACTGCTGATTTTCTCCCTGCAGCATCCCCGTGCCCCAGGCTGAGGGGCAGCCAATCTCAGTCTGGATGTATGGATGACAGGCATGACCTCATCCCCTCCTCCTGAGGGCAGTGGAGAAACTCTGTCTCCTGTGGGTCCTGTGGGTGCTTGCCTGTGTGTGCCCCAAGGCTGAAGAAGGATTGTTGGTGTTGAACCTGAAATGCTTTCTTCTGGATGAACATTGTAGTATGAATACTTGCTTCTGGCAGTGCAAGCATTTCTCTGGAATGGTAGCTCCTGAGTTAACACTCTTCTCTCTCCTCCCTCTCCACCTTATGGTTTGTGCTGCATGCCTGCTGTCCTTAGTGGCCAATGACCTGTTGAGAATCTCCCTTTCCAACTCCAGTGGCATCTCTCACACCATGGAAGTGCAGCCATCTCTTCCAATTTTCCAGGGCAGGTGTGTTTAGATCCTCAGAAGCCATGGGACACCCAGGTCCCACTGGCTCAGTGACATGTCAGTAAGATGTTCACAGAGCCCATCAGGAATTTTGGCCAGAGTTCTTCAAACTGTGCCCCTAACTGAGAAGTAAGTTTTGTAATAAGCTTACCAGTGAGAAAAGTTCTGATTTTAACCTTTCAGCAATTAATAGCTGATACATACCTAGTTTTAACTGATGACAAATAACAGCATGGACAATTTACACAGGGAACTTTCTGAAGCATTGCTTCAGTGTTGCTTTCTGAGCACCCCATGACTGCTTGCACTCTGGCAACAGAGCTGCAAAGGACATTTCTGTCACTGAATGCTGGTCACATGGAGATTCCACATGGGCTCCTGGCTGACACGTGCATGCTATCTGCACCCCGAACCACACACCCATCTCTGTGAGCTCAGGAAGGGATAAGGCCGTTCAGAGCCTTGGCTGAAAAGAAAAGAAACAAAGGTTTAACTGCAGGCAGTGAGGGTGCAGGTGGTGGCACTGTAGCCAACTGGGCTGAACTATGCCAGCTATGGAGGGAGACACCACCGCTTGGTGCCTGGACTGGGATAAAATGACTCTTTCTGTCTGCCCAGTGAGAGAACAGCAGGTCTTATCAGCAGTGAGTCCTCACCCACTGGGTGAACTGCCCTGCAAACATGTTTCTTTTATTTGTTTCCTCAGTGGCATGGCTTGTGTGGCATCCACTACTTGAGATAACACTGAGAAGACAAAACCCAAAACTTCAGCAGATATTGGCATCCTCAGGCCAGCGGTGCTTGTAGTTAGGCTGGGGACTTACAAAGGGCACAGCAGGTATAATTGCTCTGCAAGATGGATGGGTGCTGTTGGATGAAGTGTCCTGAGGTGCTTAGGCCTAGCTGGCCCTAAGACTTCCATCGGGACTCTTTCAGGTAGAGCCACCAGTGCCATCCCACTAGCCAGGTGTACAGGCTGCACCATGGGCAGCGTGCATATCCTGGGCAGAGCTGCAGAAGGGAAATCTCAAACTCCTACACTTGTATGTGCACGGCAGGCAGCTGCGCCTGGCCAGCTTCCCAAACCATGGCAGCCGTACCTTGTTTATACCTGCTGGGACTGCTTCCCAGTGAGAATGGGCAGTGAGAGCTGGCCCGTTGAGTATGCATGGCGTACTTCTGGAAAAGTCACTTCTTGACAGTACTTTCTGGTTTTTGAGAATATTTCACCTGGGGTTTACAAACTGCTTTCCTCAGGAGGTCTGGACTTTCTGTCTATAGTCTTCACTGAGGGAATTCTCCTCCTTGGAGAGCATTTTTAAAGGTGTCGCTGGCAGCAGGTGGTTGTCTGGGGATGACACAGAGTTGCCTGCTGCTGTCCCCTCTCTGCAGCCCCTCCATTTCATGGGAGGTCACTGAGTGAGGGGGAAGGAAATGACCTTTTGAGGCTACAAGGAGGGAAGAGAGCAAGACCAGCATGGAGCTTTGGGGTGTCCTGCCCACCCTTTGCTCATGTGAGATGCCCTTTAGTGCATCATATTATTACTAGACCCTTGCAGATATCAGCCCCATGAAGTGCTTCAGTCAGTTACAGCAGTAAACTCTGTAATGTAATGTAGCACTCAGCTAGATGGAGGGTTTTCCAGTAGTATGTGCTTCAGCAATGAATCTATCAAGTACGTTGCTGACACAGACAGGCTGAGAAATGAAATCTGAGAGATGGAGGGGGAAGACACTGCCCTAAAACTGAATGAATGGAAGCTGTAAAGCAGGATTACATGAACTGACTTACTGAGGAAACCCTCAGTCAAATGTTGTGAGAGTGACCATAAAGAAGACATAAACGACTGTGGGCATTGAGTTTGCTTAGCATTTGTGTCCAAAGGTGCAGCTACAGAGGCATTATCATTAGGCAGCTCCACTGACTGCAGAGCTCTGGATGTGTCAAGACCAGACCCACAGAAAGCTTGCTTTATTTGCTGTCAAATCATAAAAATGCTCTGGGCTCTGGGAATATGGGGCCAGAGGATGCATGTTCATTCAGTGACACAAAGGTGTCCAAACAGTGCTCTGATCCATGCAGGGACTGCAGGCATTGGGACAGCATTGGTACTTGAGGCACTTGGGAAGGAAACAGCAAGGGAAGAAGCAGCACCAGGTAAAGAAAAAAAGAAAAAGGAGAAAGAGAAGCAGGCTGAGAAATTATTTTCAGAAGAAAGCCTTTCTGTCTAAGGAGGGATGGTTCGTGGAGCTCACAACAGTGGAATGGGGGCACCCATCACTCCTCCTTGGCTCCCTGTGGCCAATTCCTCTCAGTCCTGTGGTGCGAGGGCAGCTCTGTGGGCTCGCTGTGGTGGCTCATGGCAGTCACTGGCAGTTGGTAAATGCTGTGCTGTGCTTGATCTTAATTGATGAAGTTGTGTTCCTTTCTTTTTTTCTTTAATTTTCCTATTGTACGTGTCCTTCAGCATGGAGGAGAGAGGAAGTGGTGTTGCAGTGTTGCTTATTTCCAACCACAAGTACTATAGCTTCAAAGAGCCGTGGCCCATAGTGGAGTTAACTTCTGTGGCTGCCACTGTTGCTGTGACCGAATGCCTTCCCCAGTGCTGTGATCTTTCCTGCATGCATGTGCCTGTGTGTGTGCCGCAAGGACATGGGAAGCCACAGCCACGACAGGTAGCATGGTATTAAGCTGACCCACGCTGTGACTCTGTCCCAGCAGATGTTGGCAAAAGCTTTTTTTCCTTCTGGGTTCACTGAGAAAATGATGTGAGGGCTAGCAACTCCTGGGTAATATGCCCTGCAGCATCTCACCAGAGCGTGCAGGCAATGGTCCTGTATGGGCATAATCAGCCAGAGCCGGTTGGGTGCCTTGCACCCACACGGGGTCTGGGCACACATCCAAAGCCATGGCCACCACAGCTCTGTGCCAGAGCAGAGCACTCAGTTGCTGCACAAGGCTGGGGACACCAGCTGGGAACCTCTGTTGTGTCCCTCAGACTGAAACCCACGCCTGTCATGGGTGCACATTGCCATAACACGAGACACAAGAAGATCCGAAAGGATCCAAAACCAGTTAGTGATGCTTTTCTGGTGGAGCTAATGAGACTTGACGTGCAAACAATGAATGAAAAGTGCATCAGAAAGGTGCCTGGTGCCAGGACTGCTCACCTCGGTGTAGGTGTCAGCTCCACTGTGACCTCCGCTTGCTAGTCCTGTCGGAGGGCTTGCACAGCAGAGCAGCTCCAGGGCAAGAGCCAGGCCCAAGAGGCTTTGCAGGATCCCACTGCAGCACTGCAGTGCGGGTGGGCACACGTGTAGATAATGCTGTGCTCACGCATATGTATGTGTGGGCACACTTGAGTCTCTCAGACTCTTGTGGGGAGCATGGCGGGGTGGACCTGAGTCCTGCAGTAGCCCTGGCCACCACCTCCTAGACCCCTGTGTCCAGGGGCTCCTGCTCTGCAGTTAGACCTGCCTTCTGCTTCTCTCAGCCTCCTGTGGGAAGGATCCTTGTTCTGGTTTTTCACTTTCTAGTGGCCTTTGTAAATTCTGAAATTACAGAAACTCATTTCATTGCAAATTGAATTCCTTTCCAAGAAAAAAAGGTAAAGAAAGAACAGGCTTTTTTTTTTTTTTTTTTTTTTTTAATAGGAACAGACTACTTGGTATTAGGGACTTCTATCATCAAAGAAATACATATCTGTTGTATCCACCAAAGTCTGCAATGCCTGCATTGAAGCTTACTTCTTTAAAAAGGAGAGGAAAAAGAAAAGAGAAGGAGAGAAAGAAAAGCCTCCTCCCCTTTAAGAACACATACATAAAAAAAAAGAATACTCGTAAAAATAACTGTTGAATTGCCTTTGAAAGTAGGGGATAACATCTGTTGCCAAACAGATGAAAATGCTTCTTAAAATGTGTAAGTTTTGTATTCTTTTTTTCTAGTAGGAAAAGAACAGACTTGAAATCTTGGTGTTTTTTCCTTAGTGCTGTGTATTGCTTTTGTGTGTTATAATATTTGAATGTAATTACAGCAGTGCCAATTTGCCAAAGATGTCGAACATTATTTTGGGGATTTTGTTCTGGGTTTTGTTTTCGGGAGCAAAAGGGGAGGTGGGCTGGGGAGCAGGGATGATAAGGCATGGGTCAAAAGGGGAGGGAGGGCATTTGAAGATTTATTTCCTTTATTTGTTTGGGGTTTTTTTTTCTCAACTCTTTCTTGTCAATACTGAAATTTGTGATTTTTATTCTAAGTTAAATGGTTGATTGCAACATTTTTATTTTTAGATTAGTTGAAGAAACATGCAATAAGATTGGC